AAGAGGATAATCTCTTCTTCTTGCCATGGTGGACAGGACCAGAACGATGGGCCAGACTGCCTGCCAATAATGCATCACCTCTGCCGCGGGCAGCCAGGTTAAATGGACATTGGTAGGACAAGGTTTAGATCTAGTGCATTCTGTCACGAAGAATGGGACTAAATGAACTGGGTGGTGCCCTTATCAGCTTTATTTTCTGTTATTCCTTTTCGCTCCTCCAAAGTATTGAGGTCATGACTCAGTGCAACACCCAACCTTGCAGCTGCTCCGCTTCTGACAGCCTGGATTCAAGCACATACACCGAGAAAATTGTCTGCATTCCTCCTCCTTTTCAGAATAACCCCTTGATTTTGTTGCAAAGCAGCTGCATTTGGTTTTACAACTCCTGCTTGCAATAACTTACCCAAATTAACTTCTACGTGCTGATTTTAAAGGGACTCAGTCTACTAAAAACAAATGAGAGTTGCAAAATTAGTCCCTTTGCTGTTCTTCCTCACATCTTGACTCCTATTTCTGTTCCTGCCACTCAATAGCAATCTGCCAGCAGGTGAATCACTTCACAGTGTCTCTGCTTCCCTTCAAATTTCTCATCTCTTTAGATAATAAATTTGCAGAGTAATAGCTGTCTTTAGATACAAAGCGGGTCTGTGCTCAACAAGTGCCTCTACCTGCTGCTGCACGATATTACTGCTAATTGTCGTCTTGTGCTTCGGCATATGCACGCTCACGTGCTTCTGGGGTGAGCTCAGCTCCTCTTGTTACAGCATCCACTTTGGGGTTTGTGTTTTAAACTAGTCTGCACTGGAACAAAGAAATCTGCGCGTCTGAAAAATGGTGCCAACGCACTCTAACTCCTGCCGTACCTGCAGACATCAGACGGTGCGTCCCAGGCGTCAGCCTCGCAGGGAACAGTTCTAATTAAGACACTGCTGCTGAATGAAGGGGTGTGAGTGCACCTAATGACACCTGTGTGTAACGCTTCAAACCTGCATCATGTCCAAAGGATACTGATGAATACACTGCTTCAGCAGGGGGGTTGGACTAGATGACCCACAGAGGTCCCTTCCAACCCCTACCATTCTGTGATTCTGTGATCCGATGGCATCAGCTCCATTACCTCTCTAATTATTCAAGGAGAAGTAGGCAGAAAGTTTCCTCTGGATGGGTTCTGTCACAGTAATTGATTGTTACTCTGCTGATGCCACGGCGTGCAATCAAATAATCAGCAAGACGGGGTGAGCACAGAAAACAAAAAGGTCACAGGGACAAGCTGGCAGGCGGCACGGAACAGAAACCTGAACTACTCACCCGGAGACATGCCTGGTGTTCCTCAAATTAGCCTCTCAACTCAGCTGCGTGCACAGCAATAGAGATGTACGAAAGACCCTGTGGCATAAATAGTAGCAGCAGAGCAGCTGGATCTGCAAGGCTTTCCTTGAAAGGAGTGTCTACGTTCATGCCCCCATCACCTATAGCTCTTGGTGAGGGACGGTGAAGAGCCTTGAGAGTGTTTCAGAGAAAGCAAGAGGAAACAACCCATGTTCTTGTGCCTCTGCCACCACATGCTCTAACAATACAGGAAGATTATCAAGCAGAATGTTCAACAGGTGACTTGACTATCATCGGAGAACCTCGGTGACCTCAGGTTGCGCCACAGGAGATTTAAATTGGATATAAGGAAAAATTTCTTCATGGAAAAGGTTATCAAGGTTTGGAACAGGCTGCCTGGGCAAGAGATTGAGTCACCATCCCTGGAGGTACTTAAAAGACGTGTAGATATGGCACTTAGAGATGTGGTTTAGTGGTGGAATTGGCAGTGTCAGGTTTACATTTGGACTGAATGGTCTTAAGGGTCTGTTCCAACCCAAATGTCTCTGCTGTTCGATGATTCTATGACCCTGGACACGACAGCAGGCGGGGTAGCAGCAGGATACTGTAAGAGCAGTAAGGATTTCCAGGCATGCAACAATGGTCACAGTGGGTTTTTGTCACATCTGCCGAGCACCACTTCCCCAAGCACAACGTGCCAACGATCATCACATGTGACACACGCTCGCTACAGCGTGCAGAAGCCCTGCTGCACATCAGCATGTCACCGGGGCCAGCGGGGAGCCAAGCTGCTCCCCACAGCGACCCGGCCGTCGTGCACGCACCCTGTCCATTGGTCGAGGAGAACGGCTAGCCACCACACGCAGATGGGCCACAAACCCTCACAAACCCCATCTGGCTGCTGGGACAGCTGGTCTCCCTGAGCAAGCCAAGCTGCCATGCACATCCATGGTGGGGAAAAACCTCCCCAGCTTCACTCACAGGTCGGTCAGTGAAAGGGAGCCTGACAAATCACAGAATCATCAAGGTTGGAAAAGACCTTCTTGATCATCAAGTCCAATTGTCAACCCAACACCACCATGCCTGCTAAACCATGTCTGCTGCTGTCCCCATGTCATGTAACCTGTACCCAGTGAGCCAAATCACAACTGGAACGAGATGGAAACCCACAGCTGCTGTGAGCCTCAGCTATTCACCCCAGTCATCTCTCTCGTCAGTAACACCCAAGTTCAACAAAAACTTCTCCCAGTTATGCTTACAGACCTGATAAATGCAGAATAGCCAAATTACCAGCAATTTTACCTTAGGATCACATAACTTACAGCCGAACTTCAATTCACTTCTAGCCACATTAACTACAATAAACATCATGGAAGTTTGCCACCTTACAGACCCTTCTGTTTGACTCTCCTTTGCTTCTCTTAGACAAGCATCTCCATTACATGCCTCCAGCTTTAAATTAAAACAAATGGACGGGCTAGGACTGATCTATACTAAAACAGAGTATCAACTTCAGGTTCTGATTTTCATCACTTTGGATTTATCCCAGATTACTCTGGATTTACAATACATAACACTTCTATGAAGTTACACCAGGTGAAGTTCTAGCAAAGAGCTATATCAGATTAAGTCATACCAAATGGGCAAAGTTTTGTCCCAGAGTCATCAACACATTAGTCATTGTCTTTCATGAGTCGTTGCAGTAATTACTGTACGTATTTAATCTTGCCCTTGATGATGGTTGCCACCGAGTTCTTCATGAGAAAGAGCGAATCTTTATCATTTTTCAGCCTTGTTTACTTTGGAAATAACTCCAGAAGAGCAATTCCTGTCAGTGTATCAAGACACTCTTCTCCCAAAATAACCATAACATTTTTAAGGTGGAAATCATTCATTCTTGTTGCAAAATTCAGTCATGATCACCTGTTTTTATTTCAGAATAGTTATGCTACTCGATGTTCCTCCAGTACTGTAACACAAACAAACTTCTGTTGTAGATGAGGTCCAACATGGCCAGAAACTGTTCTGGCTCTGACAGCAAAACCATCGCTCTGACAAACGGGAGTGGTAACAGCTCTCACCCCTTGTCCTCAGGGATGAAGGCGGATAAGTTATTACCGGTGTCGAGAGGAAAGCAGCTCCCACCCATCAGCTACACCTCTCCACGGCACACAGGATTTCATGCCCTTTCTGGTACAAAATCAGAGCAACTAATGAGGGACAAGCCTCACATTATGATATTTTCTTCCTGGCAAAATTAATGAGAGAGCAAATTAAGAGCTTCCAAATCATTTTGCCAGCTGTCTTCAGAGCTCACTAATTCCCCTGCTGCCCGTGGCAGCTTGGAAGCTGAACTGCGACTTCGCTGTGCAGTGGGTTCTGCACACTCAGGGCACCACAGTTTTGAAGTCCCTGCTGTCAAATCTGAAATTCAGAAAAAAACTGAAGGCAACCCCTTGGAATAAAGCTGTGAGGACAGAAATAAGGTGAAATGTGAAAGTGTAAATAAAATTCATAGTTCATCTTAAACGCACTCAGCTTGTTAATGCCGCTACTGTTTCGTTCATCTGTTACCTGTTCTCCATGCCCTGAGGCACACGCTATTAAGGCATGACCCAGCGAAATCTAACCTGCAGCCTTCAAAGGTTACACATTTTCCTGCAGAACTGTTCTCCAGAAAGCATTTCTCTGAAAATTCTAATTATTTAGAAATGTTAGCTGAAGACTCAGCTCTTTGGCGCCAGGTTTGTGAACCATTTCAGACACTTCCCCTGCGGATCCTGGACCCGGAGCCATCAGGAGAGTTAAAATCTATCATTTCCTTCCTCCTGGAAACCAGCTTTCCCAATTGCACTTCTCGTGAGCAACGACTGGCGTGAGGCTCTCGAGGTAGATACCGGCGATACAGCCCTGAAGAGAGGGAGACAGACACCTGACCGCTTGCTCAGCCCGGAACAAGCCCAAAGAAAAGAGCAAAGGCACGAGAAACGCCACGACACGGAGGCAGCTCGGTCAGAGACAGACAAACGCCTAATTATGCTCCCGCAAAACATTTCGGCACAACCGCTTGAATATTTTCATTTGGATCAATTAAATATGAAAGAAAACACTTTTGTTTAAATCAATGCAAGAAATCAATGTTTAAATCAATGGGAGAATATATCAAATGAATCATATAAAATCTATCGTTTAAATCAATGAAAGAATATAAAAAGGTTGAATTTATTTTTTTTCCTAAAATCTTTTGTTGACCAAAAATAACTAGCTTTCAGCAAGCACTGAAAGAAGTAATTGAGTGTGTTTGGAGCAAGATTGTTTTCGCTCTATGCCCAGCCTGCACTGAGCTGCCCCTTCCTCTTCCCATGCCACACCACCTCCTTTGAAGTCCATCCACAACAGTGGGACCCCCTGATTCTGGAGGAAAGGGCAAATCCCGATATAAAATCCAGAGAGTGACAAATATTGACTGCAATAAAATCAAAACTCTTCTTCAAATCCTAACTTTGGTGAGAAAAAAGAAAACACCTGAAAAAGGCTTGTACAACTGGCTCCTGAATAGCTCCTACCCTTGCACAGACGGTCACACAGGTCTCATGCAAGGCAAGAACATCGAAACGCAGAGGACCAGGGGGACATCAAACGAGCGGGGAAGGTCGGTGCTGGAGGCCCACCTGTTTTATTGGAGAGTCGGAAGGACACCATCTTGTCCGGGATGCTGCAGACATTCCTCACCGAGGCAATGCAGCTGTAGTTCGCGTAGTCCTGAGGTCGGAGGTTCTTCAGCTTCAGGATCTTTGTCTCTCCCTGCGTGGGCGAGAGAGCGTGTTAGGAAGAGACGGCGGCGGAGGGACAAGCAGGGGCATGGGCTACGCCACGACTGGCTTTCAGGAGGCAAGAGGAAGATGCAGAGGTGGCTAATTAGAAGTAGACACTGAAGTGGCCCAGAAAACATATTTTATTTCATGTTCTGAAAGAATGGCAGCTGGCATAACCTAAAACCGTAGCCCCACTTACCTATTAAAGGCAAAAGAGAGCAGCGAGGGGGAAATTGGTTTGACAGAGTCTTTCAAGCCATAGCATTCTCCAGGATACTATATCTTAAGGTACAATCTACATGATGAAAAAAAAATCACAAGGTACAGGAATCCTGCTGTTTTTCTTTGAAAATGAGCTGCTGATGGATTTTATTTTTAGCCAGCAGCATAAATGATGGAGCAGGGACCTGAACGGGATATGTAATGCAGGAGTTCCTTCAGACACAATCAAGAGAAAACTGGAACATACGAGATTTCCACTGCAGCACTACACGAAATGGGCACAGCAGAACCAGAAACTCCGAGGGAAAAAAAGCAAGCTGCTGAAATATGTACGCAAAATCTCACAGCGTTGTTAGCAACGAGAGTAACAAAAAGCCGAAAGGAGCGTTCGATACAAAACCCCGAGCACGCAGAGCTGCCGTGGGACGGAGCGGGGAGGAAGAATGCACTGCAGAGCACAGCAGGGTCTCGGGCGTGAGGATGCACAGAGGGCTGCGAAAACATCAGATAAATCTATATGTATCCATACCTGCACATTATTCATTTTAGTGTTAAAATAACAAACTTCCTCGGGCTTTCAATCTCCTGCTCCAGCCGCCCGCTTTGAGTCTTTGCCTGTGTTTATAGTGATAAGCTAAAAATGTATTATCCTTGGACGAGGCAAAGGCAGAAGCCAGTCCGGGGAGGCAGACACTCCGAACGAGCTCACAAAGCATCAATAGAGCAAACTGTGGAAAATGTTCATTATCACGTGTCCTGTTAAAGCTAAACAACTTTTATTATGACCACAGCTCAAGCAACATTTTTTTTTTTTAACAATATCCTCTGCACCAACTGCCCAGGCCTATATAAGCAAAAATATGGTAGTTTATGAAAATACATTTACTAGCAAAAAAACAATAAAAGAGAAGAGACAGCTAGCCAGATAAGAACGAAGCAATCATTCAAATCAAGCTTCGTAGATGTTTGGAGTATTGGAACTGAAGTTCTTCGCATGTGTGACCAGTCCCACAGAAATTATGAGATTAAAATTAAACACGTGCTGATTTAGTGGTTGCAAGGCCAAGCCTTCGGAAGGCTGGTCCTACAGATAAAGATCCTGCTTTCAGAAGAGGTTTATCTGGGCTAGAGAAAGACCTCATCCAGGTTAGGAGGAACACAGCTCCCAAAGTCATTGAGTGCTGGGAACAGAGAGCAGCTGTGTCCCATCACTTCGTTCCTTAGCTGTGGACTCCAAGCTGAACTGGTGGGCTGAACTCACAATGGGATTCTGGATCACGTCCCCACATGACAGACATTTATAAAAATGTATATATTTTCTTCACTGGTTTGGATAATTAGTCTAATTATGTCTAATTGCTTAATTATTGTAAATACAGCAAATTTAATCTTCTATTCAGGCTTTGCAATTACAATGTGCAATGAGGATGACGCAATGTCTTAGGAAAAAAAAATCTGTATCGAGATTTTTGTTTTGAAAAGTGCAGTATTTCAAACAGTCCCACAGATGAGTATGTGCATGGTTGTTCAATTCTTTTCCCCATGGTGGCTAAAATGAGTAGCTGACATCACCTGATGCATCAACAAAAGAAAAATCTGTTAAAGTTCAAGAATTTATTTGTGTATGCCTGGTTTTCCAGGTGTCTTCTATGATTTAATAAAACAAGAAAACGACCAGAAAGAAAAACTAGCCTTTTGTGGGTACAATACCTTAGACAATTTAATTGTGTTACTACTTGTTTTCCTTTACATTTCATTTGATTTTCAGACTGATAATCCACATTCAAAGCAATCACCAAAAAGCGCCATCTCAAATTCATCTCTCTTGATGCTCTGCAGTCAGAACCCCCCTATCCCTCCTCACATCAGCTCTCACTGTTTGTTGCCCTATCACAAGCTGAACCAACGATGCAGAGATGTGCAGTAGATGTTTATGACCCTTGAACCTCTAATTACATCATTTACAAACATAGAACCATGGAATGGTTTGGGTTTGAAGCAACATTAAGAGACCATCTAGACCAACCCCCCTGCAGTAAGCAGGGACATCTTCAACCGGATCAGGGTGCTCAGAGCCCCGTCCAACCTGGCCTTCAATGTTTCCAGGGATGGGGCATCAAACACTTCTCTGGGCAACCTGTGCCAGGGTCTCACCACCCTCATCACAAAACATTTCTTCCTTATATCCAGTCTGAATCTACCCTCCCTTAGTTTAAAGCCACCCCCCCTTGTCCTATCACCCCATGCCCTTGTCACAGCCCCTCTCCAGCTCTCTTGCAGCCCCTCCAGGCACCGGCAGGGCCGTAGGGGCAGAATCCCCTCCCTCGCCCTGTGCCTGCGCTGCTGGGGATGCAGCCCAGGGCACGGTTGGCCTGCTGGGCTGCCAGCACACACTGCCGGGTCATGCTGAGCTTCTCATCACGCAGCACCCCCAGGTCCTTCTCCTCAGGGCTGCTCTCCATGCCTTCATCCCCCAGCCTGTATTGATACGATAGCAGGGGTTGCCCTGACCCAGGTGCAGGACTCTGCCCTTGGCCTTGTTGAACCTGCTGAGGTTCACACAAGCCCACCTCTCCAGCTTGTCCAGGTCCCTCCGGATGAGAGAGACGATACAATCATATATCAGATCTTGCAGGCACACCGAGACGATACACTAATTCAACCTGACCTCCAATAAATGTAAAAAGGTTATGTATATAGTTTTCCACTATCAACATGACCAACTGGTTTATTCATTAATTCAGTCCAAACAGATTCTAGGAAGAATGCTCCTAGTAACCTAGAAATATTTTTTTTTTAATCTTGAATTTAATTTCATGTGACACATTTTACTAGATATGTTCATATTAGATGATAGGGAAGGTAATCATCAGCATTTCCATACTGAGATATAAAACAATAAGTCCTATATAAAGAGAGCCTTTCACTTTCTAATTGAAACATTAAAAAATTCCAGTTTACACACTTGAGTCCAAGGAAAAAAACCACAGATTTGCTAGACTGGGTCTGTACCTGTTAAATTAAAAATAATCTCATCACATTGAGGAGACCAACGACTTGACTCTGTAATCTAATTCTCACTTCTGCAAGGTTCCAGGCTACACATTTCTCAGTAAAATACCAAGCCATTGTAGCAATATAAAGTTGTCAAGTACAATAAATAGAAAAAATGAAGGTGCTCTCAAATCATTAGCTGAAAATTATTTATGGAAGTTGCAGGTTGCTTTCTGCTGTGAAGACCAAATTATGCGGCATTTTTCACCTCTGTCTTTACTCGTTATTGCTTGAGATTTTCCAAAACAATTTTTTCTCCCTTTTTCCTACTTTTTTTTTTTTTTTTTTTTTTCAT